ATTATCTGTTGCCATATAAGGCAATTAAAACCCAAAAGACCAAAACATTTAAAAAACTCATGTATATGAAGAAATACCAAGTGAATAAGGTTAGTTAGCTACAATTTTGCTGTTCCTTCCATTTCATGATATAAAATTTCTACCATGTTGGTACCAACACAATGCATAATATAATGCTTCCAAAATTCCACTGTTAACCCAGGACATGAACAAGTCATGTTCAGTTTGGCTCCTTTGGATGAAACTGGAGGTTGCATTTAAAGATAATCAGATTAGGGTGTTACATGGGAACAGAGTGGCTTGATACCAGGAAAGGGAATGGGTTACCTAATGCCACTTTGCTGGCGTCAAGCAGATGTCATCAGTAACATTTTCTATGTCTGACTGGGCATTCACAGTACTAAGTTAAACAGCCTGTAAAGAAAAATAAGACATGGGACCTGCCTTCAGATTTAATAGTCCATCACAGAAATAAATATGATGTCAATAGCTATGTGATAAAAAGACTGTCACTGTATCATGTGTTAACTTGTTTCAACTGTGTCCAACTCATTGTGATCCTGTGGACTGTAGCCCGCCAGGCTCCTCTGTCCATGGGATCCTCCTGGCAAGAATATTGGAGTGGATTGCCATGCCCTCCTCCAGGAGATCTTTGCAACCTAGGGTTCTAACCCGTGTCTCATTATTTCCCCTGCACTGGCAGGCAGGTTCTAGTGCCTGCTTACCACTAGCGCTACTTGGGAAGCCCTTACTGTATCATAGTCACATGAAACGCAGTGTAACAATCGTGTCAGTATTGACAATGATCACATTGTGCCACAGGGGGTCCTTTAATCCTTTAAAATGTCTTATGAAAAGTTACTCTTACTGTCATCTCCACCTCACAGAGGGGGAACTAAAGCACAGACAACTTGTCTACATGTGGAAAGTGACAGAATTTGAATGCACGTCTGGGCAGGCTGGTTCTGGAGTCTGTACTTCTAACCACTGCTTACACTGTTTCTCTTATGACTAACTGTGTAATTAGCTCTGCCTGGTATGATTTAATGGTGTTCTCTAAATGAGAGAAATGAAAGAAGGGAAGGGTGAAATATCACCATTCTTTGCAGGCAGAGAGAACTCCATGAGCAACAAGACACATGGGTTAACATAACATGAGATGCTCTGAGAATCAAAAAAGGTCCAATTCAGTTGCAGGAACCAAATCATGAAATTCTTCTGATGCCACTCTGGAAAGTTTGAGTTTTGTTCTGCATTTAATAAAGTCCACATAATACTTTAATCCAGGCAGGTAGATGATTACTTATTACTTCTCGCTTTAAAAAAATATTCAGAAAGCCACGTGAAAATGGTTTGGTGCTCAGTTATATCAGAGGCAGATAAAAGCTTAGTACAGTTAGGGAATGGTGATTGAATAAACTCGACCAGTGGCAGGGAGACAGCTGGTTTGAAGATGTAGTTCAAAGAGAGATAGAAGAAGTCTTAATGACCAATTTTATCATTAGGAATGTTGTAGGAGAGAAGGCCCAGAGAACTGGAATTATGACATAAATGGCTTTAGAGTGAACTTCGTAAAAAGGTAGGGAGTAACTTGATGCTTTTCATTTCTTCAGTTTTATTATGAAGGACCGATGAAGACGAAGCCCTCAGTTGGGTCAGGACTTCCAGGAGTGCAATGAGACATACAGGTGATGGTTCCCTGCATCTAGTTAGAAACTTGAAGTATGAACTCGGGAGTCTTCAGCTCCCAAAAGCAAGAGGAGTGGATGAGAAACTGTGAGAAAGGGCTAAATCCTGAGAAAGATGAGTAAAAGTGGGCAGAAGACGAGGAATTCACAGACACCAGGTGAGCAGTGCAAGGGGAGGCAAGGAGGATCAGCAAAGGATATGTACGTGTTTGCGTAAGTCGCTCAGTCATGTCTGACTCTTTGCAACCCTATGCCCGTACCTCTGTTCTTGCGAGCCTCCAGGCAAGAACAATGGAGTGGGTTGCCATGCCCTCCACCAGGGGATCTTCCTGACCCAGGGATCGAACCCATGTCTCCTACATCCCCTGCATTGGCAAGTGGGTTCTTTACCACTAGCGCCACATGGGAAGCCCGGCAAGGGATAGAGGCATGAAATCCAAGAAAGAAGAAGCTTTCAAGAAGATATAAATGGTAACAACAACAACATCAAAGTCAAATGAGGCAAGATTTCAAGCAGTACAAGAACTAAGAAAGTGTTGGTTACAACCAACAAATTTAGAGATCCCTGGTGACAGCAACAGGGAAAATTTCAGTGAAGTCTGAGACCAAAATTTGCACTTTAATAGGCTTAATTAGAGGCAACATGCTATGTCACCTCAGTCATATACGACTCTGTGACCTATGGATGGTAGCCTGCCAGGCTCCTCTGTCCGTGGTATTCTCTTGCGATTCTCCAGGCAAGAATACTGGAGTGGGGTGCCATGTCCTCCTCCAGGGGATCTTCCTGACCCAGGGATCGAACCCGCGTCTCCTGCGGCTCCAGTACTGCAGGTAGATTCTTTACCACTGAGCCACCGGGGAAGCCCAATTAGAGACAACTCAGGAAGACAATGTGTAAAGAATACTAAAACTGTTTACCAGCAAAGAAAAAGCTAAAATAGTGTGGTCACTACAAGTTATGGGCAGAAAAACATTGTTTCGGTTTTTTGACTGCACCACACGGCATGTGGAATCTTTGTTCCCTGACCAGGGATTGAACCTGTACCCCCTACATTGGAAGCACGGAGTCTTATCCACTAACCACCAGGGAAGTTCAGAAAAGGACTGTTTTGCTTCTACCCTCTTTGTAGGTGGGAGAGACTTGACTTTTACAGGCTGAAAGGAATATTCAGTGGAAAAGGCAACCTTGAAGACAGGGACTGCTGGATGATACAAAGTTCTTTATCAGATGAGAGTGCATACAATCAAGAAGATGGTATCCTGAGCATCTTAACTGCAATTTGCTTCCTGAGGGAAATGTTCATTGTTGTTAAAGTCTACGTGGGCAGTGGGCAGGATGAACCACTTTTGCAACTGTTGAAATAGTTCAAAGAATACAATGTTCTACTGTTAATATAAAGTACACAGAGACAGACATCACAGGGAGGATGATGGAAGGTGGACCTATATACCTGGGGTTGACCTCTGTACAGTGTAGATGGAGACCTGGGAGGGAGACACCGTCCCTGGGGACCAGGCAGTCCTCGTGGCCCCTAACAGGGCACCACCAAAGTTCAGACCATGGCTGCTCAGGTTACAGGTTGAAACCCCAATTTTTTCTCTTCAGGTTTGTCATGAGTGACAATGAAAGTCTGGACACTTAGGTCTTTGGGGAAAGATTCAGATTTTAAATTGTGCATTGGAAAGATGACTGACTAAAGCAAAGTACTCTCTCATTCCAGCCCAGGCCTAGGACACTGGGGCATCTCTAATAATTGACCTAGAACCTTGGGCAAGATCTTTATAATAAGCAGATGTATGGATATAGAGTACAGACAGGTAGATGGATTCATATATTTATACACACATATACACATATGCAAACACAAACACGTGATGAATTTAGTTAATGAACATGTGTATTAATTCAATTATTTCTATTTTCCAGCGTGTATATACATTTCTAATTGTAATTACAAGTATTTTTACATATATTAGACTCCAAGAACATGTACTATTAAATTACAAATATAAATTACATGGTACATAGTATGTGTTCAATAAATGTCATTCCCTTACAATATACACTTGTCTTCTGTCACTCTCTGAGCATATAATGCCATATTCTGTGTCTTTTGAATTAACTATGTTATCTTCTCAGCTATAGAGTATGACTCTAGAGGGCTTTATTCTCTGTATCTTTACTTCTTGTCTTTACTTTCTGGCCACCATGTTTAGAGTGCCTTGTTGGAAATATGAGAAGGCTTACTGGATAAATGGAGAGATATCATTACTTTTTGCCCCTAGAGAAATTTTAATCAACATGAGACAAGCGAATAGATCTCTACCCTAGACTATCATTTACTGTGTTGACTCTTTCATGGAAGGTCGACCATGAGTTTCTCAAGCCCTTGTTTTACACAGATGTATTTTTTTTTTTAAAGCCTACAGTGCATAGTACTGTGCTTGGAAGACTTATTGGATGTTCACTGAGTGAATGAATAAATGACCCGTTAAGCTGACCGAGTATAAAATGCAGTTACATTCCTTCTATCCTCTAAGTTGGTCTTAAATGATACCTTCATTCTGACTAATTCTTTAGAGACTGAAAGACAGAAAACTGAAAGCCCTGGAGAAATCTAAGATAAAAGACTGTGAAAATAAGAATAATTATTCTTCAGTTTGTTGGTTCATTGCAGGGTGGCCAAGGTAAAGGAAAGGAATTGGAAAGTAAGAAGAAAGTTTCAACCAAAGAATATTCAGAATGACAGACTTCTAAAGATGCTGGATTATGTAGCCTAAGTTTGATTTTTTTCAGAGGAAAAGTTTAGGCTATATTAATTGTTCTAAGTAAGAGTCTGCAAACTTCCAGATGCTTATTAAAATGGAGTATGAAAGTACAATCACCGTGTTACTAACTTGATTCCATGTGTTACCCTTCCTCTGAGAGCCAGAGGCAAGCATAGAAGTTTTATTAATGTTGAAATGAGCCTGGGCACAGGCCACAATTATTGAAACCTAGCAGAATCGATGCTCTAACCCTAGAGAAACACAGACACTTCTCCCAGACCAGTCTGTACTCCCCCCTTCACAGCACCCTTTCTCAGGTGAGAGAGGGGGAGAAAGATGGAATATGGACAGAAGCTTTGTAAGCATGGGTGACGCCACTGAAATCAGAGTCACTCGCGGGAGGAAAAGAAATGCACTGATGAGAAAAGTCTGATTTACATTTTTGTTTAGAACAAAAAGAAAGATTTGAACATTTTTCTCCAGTACTGATTTCAGAGTTCAGAGATACCTTAGTAATTAAGAGAGAAAAAGTGATCTACTTACCCATTCTGTATGGCAGCTGTGGGGTCATAGGTCAGGGCCATGCCAGCCTGTATAATGGGGGGAAGAAGGGAGAAAATGGGTCTTAATGTTTTTATGGTAATGTCGAAAGCATTCAGTACACACACAGACTTTTTATCTTTATATTCTATGACTTAAGTTTACTTATTCCTATATATTTCTCCCCCCTTACTGCCAAAACTAGCATTTTTACTACCTGAACACCAGAATCCACCATTGAGTTATGGAATTTATATTATATATCCAGATAAACCAAAGAACAATGCATTTTGGATAGTCTTCATTTCTACTTCATATGCCATGCACTGTCTAATCTGGTAGCCTTTTAATTTCTCATTCTTTTCAAGAACACCTATTGTATATCTCTCAGCATGGAAAAAAAAAAAGGTAATAATGGATCCTGGGGTAAGAGTTAAAATAAATGCTACTTAAAATGCATTTGACCTTTTAGAAGAAAGTGTTAAGAAATATTTATTTTAAAATAGACTGCATGCCTCAGGGTACGCAGGCAATGAATCACAGGGTGCTGTCCAGCACCATGCTGGTACCTGTCCCACTCAGACTGTAGAAAGGGAAGGTCATTTGCATGTGATGGAAACTCTTGGCCTTGTGGCTAACAAGGAGGTAGTTTTGTTTTGTTTCCAAGGTAACACCACCACTGAAAAACTACATTTCTGTAACTGAAAGTCATTACAGAAAGGAATATAAATTTGATGATAGCTGACTGACATCTACATTTCCCCTTCATGCACACCATCACATCTCATCAAGACAAGTGAAGTAAAAGTTGCTCAGTCATGTCTGACTCTTTGCGACCCCAAGGACTATACACTCCATGGAATTCTCCAGGCCAGAATACTGGAGTGGGTAGCCTTTTCCTTCTTTCACAAGGACTCTATGAATAGGCAGAAGAAATATTTTCTCCATTTGATGGATGCAGACATGGAAGCCTGGAGGGGTCAAGTGACTTGTTCAAGGCCACAGGTTTGGAGGCAGAATCAGATTGCAACCCAAATCTTCTGCTGGGCATGCCTGTCCATAGCCCCAGGTGACACAGACTGGGATTCTGCGTGAGCCCCATGGATCACCTCTCTGTGGCCATGTGGATGCACCACTCTTTGTTTTCCGCGACTGTCAGCCTAGTTATCGCTTGTGGGCAGAGACAGGATGAAACGGAAGGCTGACTAGGCTATCTAGGCTGGACATTTTTTTTTCCCTTTTTTGAAACTTAAAAGTAAGTTAATCCAACATTGAGCACCTGGCTTGATGAAAGTGAAAGTGAAAGTCGCTCAGTCGTGTCTGACTCTTTGTGACCCCATGGACTATACAGTCCTACAGACTGTAGACTATACTTACAGAATTCTCTAGGACACAGTACTGGAGTGGGTAGCTGTTCCCTTCTCCAGCGGATCTTCCCAACCCAGGAATTAAACCAGGGTCTCCTGCATTGCAGGCGGATTCTTTACCAGCTGAGCTAACAGGGAAGCTGGCTTGATAATGCACTACTGTTATATAAGATGCAACCATTGGGTGAGATGGAGTGTTGGGTAAACAGGACCTCCTGTTCATTTCTTTCACAATTTCCTGTGAATATGTAATTGTTTCAAAATAATAAGTAAGAAAAAAATAAACTAGCTTTGAAGACTTTTGTAGAGGGCTAGGAAAACCATAAAAACTTAAAAGAAAAAAGAGTTTTTGTGTTTGAGTTTCTTTTCCAGTGTGGTTGAAGGTGGTTTTCCTAATTCAGCTCATTGGATTCCTAAGATTTAACACACACCCGAAATGAAAATTCTCAGACTTTCTAAGATGGAGCCTGAAGTCCAGTATGGCCTGCTACATTGAGCTTAGATGCACTGTCTTCCCTGAATAATAATTTAAAACTTATTATTAAGATTGGTATGAGGAACAAAAATATAGAACCATCTATAAATGGAATTGGCATAGAGGAAACATACATAATTGAAATGAAGTTTGCAAACAAAGCTGAGACAGAGATTACTGGGAACACAGGATTACTGATAACTCTGGCTAAAGAAATACAATCTGATAGTGTGACAAGCTGAGGCCCAGGAAATGAGACGAGAATAAAAGAGTAGATATGAAGACAGATTTCTCCCACCTTGGGGGAAGCAAAGATACTGATGTCAAAGCATGTAGATTCTAAATCTAAATTCTCCCCTGGATGGGCTTCCACCATGTGACGGGTGGGAGACTGGCCCAAGGCTGAAGACCCCCCAGAAGCGACCTGTCCAGGCTAGACCCCACGCTTCTGGGTCCTCAAGATGATCTGTCTGAGATGAGATTTCCTGCTTAGAAACCCTAAACGTCTCTCCTGTAACTTACCCAAGATATCAGACAAAAGACAGAATGAAAAAAAAAAAAAAACAGGCTGTGTACTCAGCAAAGATAGTGTTAGTTAATAGGAGATTTAGATGATCATTGTATTTTCAGACCAAATTGTTTAAATCCCAGGAAACTTGTAGGTAGCCAAGTTTACTCCTTTTCCTTGAACTGCAGTGCTCAAAGACCAATGCTTCCCAGCCTTTCTTGACTTGTAAATTGTCATCAATATTCTCTTTTTATGCCATGTATATTTGTTTTGGCAATGTTAAGTTAGGGTTTTTTTTTTTTTTCTTTCACATTTGACTTGAATTCCTCATGGATTATAGTTAACCAATCAGGTCTAGTGAAGAACATGGTAATTATCACAAAATTCTATTCCTTTGTTGGATAGTATTTGATAATCAGAAAGTTTACACTGGCCTTTTCCTGCATCTTAAATCCCCATTCATCTTTTAGAAGATGGAAAGAATTAAATAGAAAACCATATGATTTAGTGGAAAGGACACATGTTTTGGACCTGGGTTCAAGTCTTAGCTCTGTTGCTTTCTGGCACTGGGACCTTGGGCAAGTTATTTCATTTATTTGAGCCTCAGTTTCCTTAACTGTTATATGGTATGGCAACACCTATGTCATACGATTGTTGTAAAATGTGAGACATTACATTTGTGAAGTGCCTTGCACAGTGCCTAGACACAAGACACGCATGTAAATATTATTATAACACAAAGTAACACATGGTAAGCATCCTGTGAGAGTATGGATAAAGTGGTGAGTGGATAGGCCGGTGTGCTCCGGGAAGGCACATGCAGGAGGTAGAGTTCAGTGGAACCTTGAAGATGCTTAAGATTTCCATAGATGGAGATAAGAGGTGGAGGCCAGCTCAGGCAGAAGGGTTATCATGGAAAAAGTCTTGTGAATAAAAAGGGCAAGGCGGGTAGTCCACTTGGGATAGAACATTGGTGAGAACAGTCAAAAGTAAGATTTGGAAGGAAAGGAGGAAGATCTTGATTGCTTGGCTCCTATTGGTAGAAAAATGATACAAAGAGGGCTGGGAGACGTCCCTGATGGTCCAGTGGTGAAGAAGCCTTGCAATGCAGGGCACACAGGCTCAGTCTAAGACCCCACGTGCTATGGAGCAACTAGGCCCTCAAGCCCCCACTACTGAGCCTGCTTGATACAGGGAAGATTTCACACACTACAGACACCTAATACTTGAGGTCATCGAATAAATAAATAAATGTTGCTTCAAATGAGAGACTGGACAACAAGAAATAGCATGATCCCCCAGAAAACAGAGGAAAACTCCCAAGCGATGGGTGACTAGGGTAGACACTGGGGGACAGGGAGGTAGAGAGAAACTAAGGCACGGATGAACCCAAGTTTCATCTACTTCATAATTTTGTCTGGCGTCAGTCCTGCCTCTGAGGATCTTTGGCAAGAGGACACCACCAGAGCTCAGCATTTGGAACACTGGGTTACAAGGCAAGACATGGGTTAAGCAAAGGGACGTTGGAGCATAACCCGCTGGCTGAACACCACAGCACAGTAACAATCCGGGCCGCACCTGGTTTTCATTTCATGTGTAACAGATTGTTGAATCACAATTCTAACATGGTCTTAATGCAGATTTTGCATTCCATTTCCTTTCTTCCTTTGCACAAGGTAAAAAAGAAAATCAATTTGCTGCTGTGTCTAGCCACCTTTATACTGAACTAGGACCATGAAATTGTCATTATGTAATTACCAAATTTTATGGCATGTTTACAAACTTCAGAGTCACAAAAAAGGTAAAATAACTTGGAACAAAATGAAAATGTCACACCACGTAAGTAGAAAAGTGATGTTTAATTCTCTCATTCTCTTTTGAAAAGGATTTTTATTAAATTCACAGATATTTTCCATATGTTAAGTTCACATTATTTGTGGATTAAAGCATTTATGATTTACTTCAAAAAGAAAGGGAGTTTTTTTTTGGGGGGGGTCATTTTTCCAGTAGCAGCTGAGTTTTGGCTTAGTATTTCAGTCATAATAGGGTTATTTCTAGTCTTTCCAGAGTCTGTAAGAACTAAATAGGAACTTTAAAATGTAGTTTACAGGAGTCAATTAGATGTCAATGAAAAAAAATTTTGCCTGCCATATCAGTAAACAAAGATCTTGCAACCATCAAGCCATTACATTACAGCTGTCCTGGTGAGTCCTGTGGGAACTCAGGATGAAACGGGATGCCCATCATCAAGTCATCAGCCACTGCAGCCTCCCACACATGTACACCGTGAGGAGACTTGGGATGAGAAAGCACAGGATACTGGCCATAGACAGCTGAGGTGCATGTTAAAGGGGTGATTTCAACGAGCCCTGAAGTTTTCATCTTCCCATATAGAGGAAGGGGGCTTCCGCAGCGGCTCAGCAGTAAAGAATCTGCCTGAAATGTAGGAGACGCAGGAGACACCGGTTCGATTCCTGGGTCAGAGAGATCCCCTGGAGGAGGGTATAGCAACCCGCTTCAGTATTCTTGCTTGGAAAAATCCATGGACAGAAGAGCCTGGTGGGCTTCAGTCTATGGGCTCACAAGGAGTTGGACACATCTGAAAAATGGCATGGCATGCCACATACAGAGGGAAGCACTAAGTTCCTTACATTGAGCCACCTTGTTTTTCTTAATTAAAATTAATCCTTTGATGTCCTG